AACAGTGATTTTATAGTGGCCTTTCCACACTGGCAACATCTCAGCTTCACAAAGATTCATAAAGGGACTAAAACTAAGTCCTGAACTCCAGCAGAGTTTACTGTAATTGTGAAATACAGTATTGTAGTTTAGGGGTCTGAGTTTCATATTCATTTTCTCTCTAGTACTTAATGGCTGGCCAGGTTGACCTCTGTTGAATGGCTGTTCAGCAAAGTTTCAGAATATGGGCACAGAAAATGCAAGGTTCTGTTTTGCTTGAATGGAGACATATTTCCACAATGAGAACATCTTAGAGCTTGTGGAAGAATCTTGAATTAGGCCTGCCTATACTTTGTACACCCATTTTTTTATAGTCCTGAACAACATTTGTCTTCCTTTTTAGTTTTATTGTGTTTATTTTCTTCTTCAGATTGTTCATCAGAATCAATGCAGATTACCCAGCCATCAATATCAATTATAGACAAATGCCCCAAAAAATGTTTACCCCAAATTGATTTACTTTAACACTTAAGTTTTTAATTACTTTATGCACTGATTTAAATAATAATCCTTCTATACATATTAATTTAAATGACAGCAGAAAAAAAAAGATTACTTGTAGTGTAGTTGATGTAAAAAGTGGCCAAACGTAGGAATGATTAGCTTATGATGTACAGGAAGAAAAGTAATTAATAATAATGGCATTAAATTACATGTTGAGTATGAGTAGAAGCTTCAGTGTTTAATTAGACTAAGCATACATGCACCCTTTTCATATCTTTTTCCTCTTCACATAGGAATATAATATAACATAATTCATTTTGACATCTCTGATTTTGGTAACTACTAAACCAATTTGTTTCACCTCATCTTTTCTACTCAGGGCATTTTTCTAAGGGACATTCTGCTGCATTTTTGAATGTAGAATGGCTGAAAGCCTAATTGAAACCTGAGAATGAATTGGATGATTTAGATCCTTTTTACTCTGTTAACCCAGATATGCACTTTGCTGCATGGTACCTCTGTAGGTAGTGAACACAAACTCAAAATTATTTTTCCTTTCGCGTGACATTAGACAGGCTGTTGTGAAATAACCAATTTCTCAGAAAATTTCAGTCTGTATTTGTATTTTACAACTCCATTTTTCAGGGTTGATGTGCATCTGTCCAGTCGATTTGCAGCCCTTTAGTGAAAATAACATCCAGTCAGAAACAAATGGACTATTGGTGATAGAAAATAATTTAGTCTTGCTTTTTCAGGCAAGTTCAGAATGGTTTGATCCAGAAGTTGTTTTGAAGTATGTATTTAATCTTCACATCAATACTGTCATGACTGATGGGAGACTGGGGATAGCAGGCAGGAGCTGGGAGCAGCTGCAGCCCCTTCTGTTTCTTGGAAACCAAATGGAAGAAATGAGGAATTCTCAGCCCTGTTGTCCTGGGAAATCCAAATGTCTCTGCCTTGCTGTTGTAATCTGTCAAGGCAGGGAATTTGTCATTCTAACTGACATAAATTCTGAGATGATGAATTTGGGTCTTTTGTTTTTCTCACATTAAAAAAAAGGGGTAAGAGGAAAAGAGAGGGAGTCAGAACAGATTTGATCTGTTTACACTGTTAAATCTATGAATTTGAGCTTTATACTTCCCATAACAGAATGTTAGGAGGGTTTTTCCCCAAATATTTTCCTTGTTTGGCTTGCTTGGCTGATTGCATCCAAATGACCAGATACTTTTCAGAGGTCAGAACTGCTTCCAGATTGCTTTGTAAACTTTGATACCATCTGTTTATCAGCTCTCGAAATGCTGGAGAAAAGTGGATTATTACTGCACATATTTGCTGACAGTCCTTGATATTGAACTTTGCTCAGGCCACCAGAAGAACTTTACAAGATGGAGAATAACCAGATTTCATATTGTTTAATAAAATTCTAGAGGGTACATTGGTTTTTTGCATTTGCTTAATCTCTGCATGCTTGGCAGCCCTGTTGCTGAGGTACTTCCAGATATGACTTTTCCATTTTACCATCTAATGTTCTGTGTGTGCATTTTTTCTTTCACAGCAGGTGTCTAGGGCAGTTTGAGTTGTAAAAAGGGATATGTACTAAATAAAAAAAAAACTTTGAAGAGCTGAGGGAAAGCACCAGTTTGTAGATAAATGAGTCACTTCAGCATAGTCTCATGGAAGGTTAATATGATCAGTTTTGTCAGAAGATGCCATCTCACTGATCTGGTGTTCAACTAAAACGACACTATTTGAGTGTTGCTGGTTTTTTTATTTAGAAAGTAGTAACCTTCTTTCTTAATCACAGGACAAAAGCCATAATCTATAGTTTATATTTAACTCTGCCATTCATCAGACCTTTTATGTGCCACAGGAGAAACAAAAAACCTGATGATATTAAATTACACCTCTAATGAAGTATATTCAAATGCAATCATGTCTCTGATGCTATTTTAACAATTTTTAACATCTGTTAATGAATAAGATTTTTTTAAAGAGACCAGCATTACTCTAGGATTTCATCTCAAACGTAAAACGTTCTATTGAAGAGGTGTGATAATAATTATCATAACTGCTGTTGTCGTGATTGTCTTTGCTACTAATTTCATAGGACATGTTAAAAATACTATCCTTAGAATTGCTATTCTTACGTGCTGTGAAGAAAGCTCTTCAATTTTAGCATATGTGTTTCAGAACTGTACTGTAGTTGTTGCTTAACTCCATAGCAGCCTCTAAAAGAAATGTTTATTTTGCTGTTTTGCTCTCTCTCTGCTTTTCCCACTCTGGTTATGTCTTTCTCTACACACTTGGCAGCCTTATTTCTGAATCACAGTTGGAATTGCCCAAATGTAGAGGCCTCGTAATGTCCATGATCATCAGCCATTTCATCAGGTTTGGATAGGGAGCAGCTTGGCAGCCTTTTTTCAATCACAAAATTGCACTTAATTCTTCAATATGACCTTCTTTTAGAAGGTTCTTTTGTTAGTTTTGATTCATGCATGCAGAATATAATTTTTTTATTCTTCCAGGAAGATGGGATTTCTGGGAAACTTGGCTGGGGAACGACTTGCTTGAGAGCTGTACTTTGAGCCCATTAATACATATTACACCTACTGAGAAACTTTTTGCCCTTTTTGTTTGGTTTAGATTATACCTGTCAATGTACATTTCAGATACTTCTGCTTTTTTTCCACTGTCAGTAGAACAAAGCCTCCTTTGCAATCTGGTCTTGAAGGTTGGATGTTTAAATTTTGGTGCTGGCAAATATTATGAACATGTATTTTGTGCAATATTTCACTTTTCAAAGACAAGATGAAAACAGTGTTTAGAATTTCTAATCTAACATTTAGCTATCTTACACCTTAATCAAACACGTAACAGAAAAGATCAATACACTTTTGCCTCAAGTTAACTCTCGAGGCCCGTGTATACAAGAAATTGGGGAATGAAAATTATCTCATTACTAAGGAATATCACTTAGCTTATAAATCTTTTATGAAAGACCATTAATAAAGCTGCAGAGCAAATTTAGTATCCTCTATGCTTGCTTCTGTGAAACTTCTTGCAGTCCAGAAATTAGCTTAAGCAGTTTTAAAATATGTAATTTTGGGTTTGGGTTTTTTTCAGTAAGAAAATAAGTACAGACACATTTTTTCCTCCTACAGATCTTCTGCTCAGCAAGATAAGTGTTTGATTGAAACATATTGTCTGTTCTGTGTGCATATTATAGACTATGCAGAACACTTTGGTCAGGATTTTGCCAAAAGGGTGCTGAAAATTATGTATTAATAATGTGTCTTAGTTTTATTATTTGAACTTGAAAATTACAGCTTTTGCCACGTTCTGCTGAGGTAGAATAATTTTGTGTACAACCCATCTTTCTGGTTCAAGAGATTTGATTACTGCAGTACTTTGGTCGTGAAGAGAAAAATCATTGAGCAATTTACTGGTGCAGAGTGGAACCACTCTCACCTCTTGGGTTACAGCAACCCTCAAACATGTTCTTTCTAAAAGCACCTGCTTCTGCTCAGGTGTTTTGTCTTTATCCATGAGTTTTCTGCAACTGTGGTCTTGGTTGCATGAGAAACCAACCATTATTTCATGTCCTCATAACAATGAAAATCCGATGGCACGTTCAAAATTACTTTCCCTACTACTTCTTTCCTGGTGTGCTGGCAGGTTGTCTGTTCTACTGCTCTGAAACTTTTCTGGTTGCTCTGATACAACAGTGACAGCCTTTCTGTTAGATGAGGAACCACAATCAGTTTTTGGCCTCAAGTGGTTTTTTGAGAAAGATTGGCAAAGCAGCACAGGACAGTTCATTTGAAGGAATGCAGTTTTCATGGTGGTTTTTTGTTTTCTTTGTTTTGTTTTGGTTTGGTTTTTTTGGTTTTTTTGTTTTGTTTTTTTTTTTGTTGTTGTTTTTTTTTTTTTTTTTTTTTTTTTTTTTTTTTTTTTTTTTTTTTTTTTTTTTTTTTTTTTTTTTGAAAGGGGTAAATGTCTCTTAATTTTGCACTGCACTTACGTGCCAAGACAATAATCAAGTTAAATTAATTGTAAGAGATTGGGATCCTGGTACAAAGCCTTGGTCTGCTTTAAGAGTGGAGGGTGAGGTAGAACATGCAGAAACCACCTGAAAAGGGATTTATACAATTGCAAAAAAATTTTTTCTTGGGTTGTTACTCTTCAAGTTGTGCACTTGCCAAGCCATTGTTTTTAGTGTGGGTATTTGTGTGGGGTTTTTTGTGTTTTCTGGGGAGTTGGGTTTTGTTTGTTTGGGTTTTTTTCCTCAAGAACAAAACAAAACAAAAACATTAGATTGTAAGTCAGCAAGAACATTTGTTACACTCCAAATCTTAGAAACATTATACTGTTCAGGCTAATGCTTGCATGGGTGAGGGAGGTACAGGAGGCACGTTTACCATGCAATCTTTTTGTATATTTTTTTTTTAAAGGGGATTGATTTAAAAGCAGATATTTTGAGGAGATCTCAGATAGCTGACCTCTTTCCCCCATTGCAGCTGCACTCTGAGCGTCACCCTGGAGCAGGCCATCACGCTGGCCCGGAGCCACGGGCTGCCCCCTCGCTACATCATGCAGGCCACCGACGTCATGCGCAAACAGGTGAGGTGCTGGCTGCGCGGGAGCGTAGGGACACGGCTGGTGGCAACTGGGAGTGGGGAGTGGGCTACAGCTGTGAAAAGCAGGTGAACAGCATTGAAAGGAATGAGACTGGAGTGCCCGGGTGCACTGACCAGTCACCAAAGGGAACAGGTGCAATGCATGATCAGGAGTATGAAAGGTTGGGCTAAAGCACAAGAAGGGCAGATGCTTGCAGCCTGCTGATGTGATGTTACGTTGTTCTGTATGGGCAGACGCCTGAAGCCTTCTGATGTGGTATGATGTTACTCTGTATGGGTTGAAGCTTTCTCAAGTTGTATGTGGATACTCTGTGTTGTGGCTGTCTCAACTGCGATGTATGCTGTGACAGGGGAGACCTGCGTGCTTATCAAACAGGAGTGACTCAACCAAGCATTTTTTAGCCTCCATCCTAATGTTGTGCAGTGTCTATCTCAGTCCTCTTAGTTTCATGCTTTGTTGTTTGTGTTTTGGCCTTTTTTTTTTTTTAATTTTCTTCCCTTATTGTTGAAGGTGGTTTTTTTTTTTTTATTTTTTAATACAGAAACAGGCCATCTTTAAGCAGATGTTTGCTTTCTCTTACGATTTTACAAAGTGATTTTTGCATAGTAACTGCCTTGGTGTCACCTTACATCAGAGTCTGTTGAGTAAGACAACTTTTATCTTAATACATATGATTGATAAAAACAACTTAAGATTATTAACTATTGCCAGTAAAAAGTGACTCATGCACTGAATTAAGGGGAAGTGTAGAAGAAAAGGAGAGAAAAAAAATACCATTGTTTTTAACTTTCCAGGCAAGATTCCTGAGGACAATGTCCTTATTACAAAACAGTGTTTTTTACTCTTTGGTTATCATAGGATATTAGGATTTAGAGGCTGTTGTGGATAGATAACCACCTCAACATGAACTCTTGGTGTGAAGGTATGCCAAAAATACTACATTAAAAAGTAATATCAACTGAAAATGAGGGGTACACTCTACTGTATTAACACAACATTTTCTAGAGTATCTTGTTATCAGAAAATACTTCCAAAAGGATGTATCTTGGAAGGAATTCAGGGGAGGAACATGAATGGTCCAGAGGTTGTTAGACAAGAGTTATAAACTGAAGATTAAAGAGCTCAACCTGTTCAGCTGATGAAAGAGAGGTTGGGTGGGGACTTAATCACTCTGCATGCATATGGAACATATATCCCAGCCTGTGGTAGCTTTCAACCTTACAAAAAAAATCAGAAGCAAAATACAGGATGCACTCAATCTTGAAGTGAAAAAACCCATAATTAAATATTGTAATAATTAATCACAGATAAGGCAAGGTTCATAATTTCTGGGCTCTAGATGGCACCTAATTTATTATGTTCATTAACTTTGCTACATATTTTATGCAGCAATCACAGTTATAAAGATTATTAAAAATCTGTACTTCTATCTTGCTATAGACAAAAATATGTTTATGCTAGGTGTGACCTTTGGTCTGTTAAAGCAATTTTGTGGATAGTTTCAAACCACAGATTTGCATCAGTTGTATGTAAGTTGCTGAGCATGGGTACATAAGAGTATTTAGTCTCACTCCTTTTTGTATTGGGCTTTCACTTATTTTGGTGCATAAATTAAATTTCTGTAGTGAATAATCATCCTCAAGGTTCTTGAAGGTACATCTGCTCAGGAATTACAGCTTTAACTTGACTTGAAAAGAAGGCTACTGCTTTATATGTCTGCTCCTGAAGATTTAAACAAAAGGCAGATCTGCATATTTTGCAATCAAAAATACGGTTGTAGGGGTTTGCATAAATCTACTTGTAGGATGTATTCTGTCAAATTGTACGTTTTCAAAATACAGATCTAGGCCATTCAAAAAATGCTTATTCATTTTTGCATCTTCTGCATTTATTTAATGAAAATGAGCTACAAAATGAAGAAACTGACATGGTTTTGAGCAGCTGTAGATGTACTTGCTCAAATACAGATGTGAAAAAAGGCCTTTTCATGAGGATACATTCTTTGAAGTGAAACAGCAGGTGATCAATAGCTGTTAAAGATACCAATACCTCAATACCGCACACAGATACTGTGAAAATTTGTGCTAGTATATCTAGACTTTTTTCACACATGCTTTCTCTTGCAGGAAACGACTATGGCATTTAATAGAGTAATAATCTTTTGTTGTAATTTTCAATCAGTCTTGGAGTTCTGTAATAGAAATATAACCCTCCATTAAATTCTAAATGTTTTGGAGTAATTTCAACAACACACTATGGTAATTTCTAGAAACCTGTTCAGATTTAATGTTTAAATTATCTGTAGGATTTAACTATCAGGATCATAATGCAGGCCATAAAACTTGGAAGAAAAAGGAATAAAAAGACTTCTTGGGGCTTAATGCAGATCATTTAAGAGCAATATATGTGCCTTTTCCACATAAATAAACAAAAAAAAATTGTTATCCCATTTGCACAGAAAAATTTTATGGCATAGAGATATTAGCCCACAGGGTGGTGCAAGTCAAAGGACATCTATTCCATCTATTACTCAGCAGCACCAACTCCTGTAACTACCAGCTTTCCACTAGAGGAAATTACTCAAAGCTGATGTGTTTTCCAACTTGGTGCACTAGTACTGAATAACCAGAGACACCTGATTGAATGGATAACCTCACGAATGATTTTATTTTTTAATTGAAGGAGGTCACGATCATGTTGAATAAGACTAATAATAGCTTCAACTGTACTGTTGGAACAATGTTCAAAGTAATTGTCTTGTCAGTTATATATAATAAGATAACAAGCACCTGGTCTGTGAGAACTAAAGGAAAGAGACAAACTTGTGAGAGTGGGTATGAACTTGGGTCTGTGGAATGGCTTTACTTAAGCAGTTTTGATTTATTTATGAAATAGAGAAAAAATTGCCAAAACATCCCAACTACCTTCTGGTAAATTTTTAAACTTATGTATGTACTCATGTAAACAACTGCACACACAAAATACTATGCAAAGCATCCTGACAGCAGTGTGACTTCAGGATGCAGCAGAGTGAACAGGACAGAAGCCTAGGAAAGGAGCTGCAAGAGGGCAGAGAGCTCTGAGAAAAAAAGTAACTAAAAGGCTGATGAACAGAAAAGGCCAGAAGAGAATTTATGTTGTCTTTTAAGTGACTAATCATGTTTTTGTGCCTTTTTAAAAGTATAATAACACTATATTTTGAGCCCACCAGGGGAGGGACTATATTAGTCCTGTTGTTTGCAAATAGAGATGGGCTGGTGGGAGATGTGGTGGTTGGAGGCTGCTTGGGGCAGAGTGATCATGAAATTATAGAGTTCTCAATATTTGATGAAGTCAGGAGGAACAACAATGAGACTTTTACGTTGGACTTCTGGATGGCAGACTTTGGCCTATTTAGGAGACTTATTTAGAGAGTTCCTTGGGAAGAAGCCCTTAAAAACAAAGGAGTCCAGGAAAGGTGGGTGAGCTTCAAAACAGAGATCTTGAGGGCACAGGAACAGACTGTCCCTGTGTGCTGAAAAGTGAGTCAGTGAGGCAAATATCCAGTGTGGATGGGCAAGAAGGTTTTGAAGGAACTCAGGAATAAAAAGAGGAAGTATCATCTTTGGAAGGAGGGTCAGGTCTCTCAGGAAGTATTTAAGTGGGTTGCTAGGGTATGTAGAAAAAAAACTTAGAGAGGTCAAAGCTCAGTTCAAACTTAGCTTGGTAACTTTAGTAAAGGGTAATAAGAAATGTTTTTGCAAATATATTAACAGCAAAAGGAAGGGTGAGACAAAGCCTTGTTCTCTACTGGATGTGGAAGGGAACTCAGTAACTGCAAATGAGAAGGCAAAAGTGCTTAATGCCACCTTTGCTTCAGTCTTTAGTGGGAATACTGCTTGTTTTCAGGACAAGCCTGTTGGTAGATGGTGTCAGGGAGCAGAATGGTCCCCCTTTTATCCAGGAGGAGGCAGTTAGAGAACTGCTGAGCTGCTTGGATATTCATAAAGCTTTGGGACCTGATGGGATCCATCCCACAGTGATGAGGGAGCTGGCAGATGAGTCTGTGAAGCTGCTCTCCATCATTTACCAGTAGTCCTGGCTCACTGGTGAGGTTCCAGGTGACTGGAAGCTGGCCAGTGTGATGCCAATACACAAAAATGGTGGGAAGAAAGATCCTGGTAATTATAGGGCAGTTAGCCTGACCTCAGTACCTGGTAGGGTTATGGAGCAGTTTATATCGAGTGGTGTCATTACTCAGCACCTACAGGATGGCCAGGGTATCAGACCCAGAAAGCATGGGTTTAGGAGAGGTAGGTGTGTTTGACCAACCTGGTCTCCTTTTATGATAAGGTGACCCGCCTGGTGGATGCAGGAAAGGCTGTGGATGTTGTCTGTTTGGACCTCAGAAAGGCCCTTGCCACTGTTTCCCACAGCATACTCCTGGAAAAGCTGGCAGCCCACGGCTTGGGCAGGAGCACTCTTTGCTGGGTTAGGAACTGGCTGGATGGCCAGGCCCAGAGTGGTGGTGAATGGTGCTGCACCCAGCTGGGGTCAGTCACCAGTGGTGTCCCTCAGGGCTCTGTGCTGGGGCCAGTTCTGTTCAATATTTTTATTGATGTCATTGATGAGGGCATTGAGTCTTTCATTAGTAAATTTGTAGGCAGCACTAAGCTGGGAGTGTGTGTTGATATGTTGGAAGGTAGCAGGGCTCTGCAGAGAGACTCGGAATGGTTGGATAGATGGGCAGAGTTCAATAAAATGATGTTTAATAAGTCCAACTTCTGAGTCCTGCATTTTGGCCACAATAACATGTTATAGGCTGGGGATGGTATGGCTGTACAGTGCCCAGCTTGAAAAGGACCTGGGGATGGACAGCTGAACATGAGCCAGCAGTGTGTCCTGGTGGCCAAGAAGGCCCATGGCATTCTGGCCTGCATCAGGAATAGGGAGGTCATCCTTCCCCTGTACTTGGCACTGGTGAGGCCTCACCTTGAGTGCTGTGTCCAGTTCTGCCCCTCAGTTTGGGAAGGACGTTGAGAGGCTTGAGCGCATCCAGAGGAGGGGGACAAGGCTGGTGAGGGGCTGGGAACACAAACCCTGTGAGGAACGACTGACGGAGCTGGGGGTGTTTGGCCTGGAGAAAAGGAGAATTAGAGGTGACCTTATCTCTCTTTACAGCCCCTGAAAGGTGGTTGTAGTCAGGTGGGGGTTGGTCTCTTCAGGCAGCAGCTGGCAGAACCCGAGGACACAGCCTTAAGCTGTGCCAAGGGAAATATAGGCTGGATATTAGGAAAAAGTTTTTTACAGAGAGTGATCAAGTACTGGAAAGGTCTGCCCAGGGAGGTGGTGGAGTCACTATCCCTGAATTTGTTTAAAAAAAGATTGGATGAGGCACTTGGTGCCATGGTTTAGTTGAGGAGTTGGGGCATGGGTTGGACTGGATGATCTTGAAGGTTTCTTACAACCTAGTGATTCCGTAAATAATTCTCATAAGTGTTGTACTGATTTAGAGCTTTTTGAATGTTTTCTCTATGTGACTGGTTTTTGCTACCCTTAAATTAGTGTGTAGCTTGAAAATAAACCTATAATTTTTAAACGTGGCAATGAGAATACTAGTTCATATAGAAGAGTCCAGATTGATGGCGTCTCAGAACTGCCATCATCTTTCATCAGTGCTCTGGCAGTACTGGTGGGTAGCAGTCTAGAGTCATGTAACCCAGCTCTCCCTTATGCCCTTTTGAGACAGTGTCAATTAGGAATAGAATTGGACATGTATAAATTAGCAGTATATTGAAATAGAAATGGTATAATATTGCTCAGTGGTGACAAAAAGATGTCATGTAGCAAGTTGCTAGTAATTCTTGGGGGCTGTTCCTCAAAAGAAATAAGAATTTGGTGGTTTTAAGTAAGGTCTAATTTGTGTCCCAACTAAACAATAAATTACATGATTATATAAAGCTAGACTCCTTTTTAAATCAATGCATTTGATTTATTATGTGAGCAAGATACTAAAATTAGTTTGTCTAATGAGTGATGCAAGTAAAAATAGGCTGGTTTTGTTCTCAGAGGTAGTCACAGCACTGACGTCCAGGATCAGCATGTGATTAATTTAGATAGTTTTTGCAAATGTATGTACATTCTGGCTCTCAGTACTGTTAATCATGTGCCAGTCTCACCATGGTGAGGTTTCTTTATTATGATAAAATTTTAGAAAATGGCGCTGAGAGAAGGCCAGAAGGTGCAGAAGGTCTGGACTCAACATGTCTTACTGTAACCAGCATCTATCCCTATGTCATTCCTGACAGATATTTGTTGTATCTGTCCTTAAGCCTCCAGTAGTGGGGACTCCTGCATGCTGCTTCTCATGTGGTCTCTTCTGGAGTTTTCTTAACCTTTTCATTATGATGCTTTACTTTGTGCCTCTTTTATGTGGCTTTTTTCTTCTATTTTTCCCCCTGCAATTCCCATGTTCTGTATACCATAAACTTAGCAACCAGATTTTCTTCCCTATTATCAGTAGACTTTTTCCAGAAATGGAGCATTTAGTATACTCTGGCCAACCTGTTACTGTGTTACCACCCTCACTATAAAATATTTCTTCCTTATATCTATTCTGAATATACCTTTGTTTAGTTTAAAATCATTACCTGCTTTCCTATTGCTACAGCTCCTGCTAAAAAGTCTGTCCCAGATTTGATTATCTGTTAAGCCATCACTTGTACAGATAGAAGAAATCAATTCATCTGGTCTGTCATTTTTCAGTTGAATTTTCTTAACTAATCATTCTTTCTATCCTCCACTGAACTCTTTTCAATTCTTTTATTAAAGATGAGCAGTAACTCTGAAGAATTATAAATAATCTTGCAGGACTTTGTGATTGAGCAATAAAATAGTAGATGAAAATCAGCGTAGATTACTCTTAAGTGAAGGACACTAGGGAAAAAACAAACCCTAAGTTCACATTCAAAATAATTGACTGTGAGCTTGCCATTACATTTCATGTTCAAGACCTCAGGATATGAGGAGAAAACATCAGCTCAATTTGCTGCAGTTAACAGTAAAGCAGAAGTTATAATGGTTTAGGAGGGATAGAGGACAAAGTAGAAATCATGCTGTCATGACCCTGGATTTGGAACATCTTATGTTCTTATCCCTTCCATAAATATATAGCATAATGGAAAAGATTCCGAGAAAGTCAGGAAAATACTGGCCAATTGCTGGGAAAGGTTTACAGACAGAAAGACAAAGTTCTGTAGGACTGTTCAGCTTCATGAAGGGGGATGACAGACTTCTAAAGAACATGTGTCACAGGTAGGGACTGACCATTGTCCTCACCAGTGCAGAACTAAACACATCAAATGAAACTTTGTCAGGTTTAAACCAAATTAAAACAACAGAAAGCTGGAGAGGGACTTTTTACAACTGCATGCAATAAAAGAGATGGGGTAATGGCTTCAAAGTGACAGCGGGCTTAGATTGAGTCTTTATTTTAGAATAAATTTTAGACATTAGATTTATAAAAAAGTCTTTACTGTGAGGGTGGCGAGGTACTGAAACGTATTACCCAGAGAAGCTGTAGATGCCCTATTCCTGGAAGTATTTGGGGACAGGATGAATGGGACTTTGAGCATTCTGGTCTAGTGCAAGGTGTCCTCACCTGTGGTGGGAGGTTGAGACTAGATGACCTCTTAAAATTTTAGCAACCCAACCATTCTCTGATTCTTGATGTAGCAAGTTAAGATTGTACCAAAGACGTAGATCTTTCACGAGGTTAGTGATGTGTATTTATTACTGAGTACAAGATGAGCTGGGAAAGAAGAGAATCACTAAAGTTAATTAAACACACTTGTTGATGAAGAGAGAAAGTGTCAAATGACTAATGACTGAATTCTGGAGGAGTTTCTGGGGAAAAACATGTTTGTCATGGTCTATTATGTGCCTTTGCAATTGTTGGAGACAATCTTACTGAGACAGATGCAGCTGTAGTAAAATAATTTTATATTCTGCCTTAATTTTTATATGTATTCTAGTTATTTTTTCTATCTTTATCACCCTTTCTTTGCCTTAAAGAAATGTAAGGACACAGTATGTTTCTGTGGCACACATTGATTTACATACAGTCTGAGAGCCTGTCTGTGTGTAAACAGCTAGCCTTTTTCACATACTGTTTTAGCCCATAACAGTAAACCAAAACCATGTCAATTACCTGTGTACCTGATTTCAGTCAAATGAAAGGTCTAGTCTTACTCTATGACTGGAATCAATTATTATACCTATTTTACATCATGTGCACCTGGTACTGCAGCTCTGGTAGAAATAAAAATTATTTTTGATGCTTCACATCAATTACACAGTAAGAATTCTGAGGTTATAAATTTTTATTCTCTATTATTTTGTCCTGAATTTGCATAGTTCAGGAGAAATAAATGGCGAGTCGGTATATTTATTATTGATAGAACAAGGAGTTTCCATCTCCTTTAAAATTACAGAAAAACATAGTAAGCCTAACAGATATTTCTTTATTGTGACTACTTTACATCAATAAAACTGCAATTTAAGAGCTAGACCTCATCATTCAAAAAGAAATTTTACTAATTTCTTTGATATATGTAAGCTGGTATGTTTGCAGAAGAGGGTGTTTTTCACACAATAGTTCATGGTATATAAATATTGTGCATGTTTTATCCATTTCCTCCTTATTAGATGAGTCAGTGAGACAAAAGTACTTTCATTATTGGTTTTGAAAGGATCAGTTGAGGTAGAGAGAGACCAACTTTTCTGTTTTCCCTGCTTTAAGTGTGGATTTTGGACTAATCAATCTCCGGAGGTTCCTGCCTGTTTGTTTTTGAGTTTCTCTAATTATAAAGGAAGATCAGGACCTGCATTTTTCTAATCCTTATTTAGTGCCTGCCTTTAGGCCATTCTTTGTTAGTTTCATTTAGTATTTTCATAGAAAATTATCTGTATTATTTACTTGTGCAAAATTTCATAGGAAATAAGTGACATGTCAGAAAAGAACTTTATCTATGACTTCTACACAGAATAGTGACAAAAATCAAACAAATTGAAATGAGATGTGTTTGGATTGTTTTAAACCTTAAATGTTTTGGGTTTTTTTTTTATAATTATCTTTTAAATTAGCAAGACCTATATAGCTGTCACCTATATTTAATTGGTGACACATGGCAAGATTTTTGTTTCTTTATTGCTTCAACTTATTCTCACCTTAGAAGATACTGGTTGTTTTGGGACATGAAGCCTATGTGTTAATTAATTATACTCAAGTTATGTTCATCTACAAAACTCAGAAAATTTCCTAATTTATTGTGGGATAAATGAAGTAAAATTGTTGTTGTTCTTCTTCCACAGGGTGCGAGAGTGCAAAACACAGCCAAGAATTTAGGAGTGAGGGATCGAACGCCACAGTCTGTGCCAAGGTAACGGATTCTTTGTGTCCGAGACCATGGTTTTGTCTACTTTGTGCCACATTCAGTCCTAGCTGCTCAAAAGCTAACAGTAAAGATTGACTAGATTATGCTCTAGCTGGTAAGATTTGGCTCTTAATGAACATAAAATCAGTTGCACTCTTAGCCATACAATTTTACTTCAAGTGATTGGTTGCAGAAGTCTGGGCTATGTAACACTTCAAAACATGCCCATTTTTGAAAAATGAATCCTAGTTATGTTAACTATGAAAACACTGGAGGAAATCCTTCATCACTTGTAATATTTAGTAGTATATTTGGGTAAGTACTCCTAGTACTTATAGTACTAAGTATACTTAGTATTTGGGTAAATACTCTTAACAAGATCAATAAACCCCATTTTAATGAAATACTGTACTGCAGTATCTCAGCAAAATCATGTCCTAGTTGCATTTGAGGATGATGTAGTCTTTCTTTGTCTCTTTCTGAAACATGCATTACAATGAAAAATGGGTTATTCTGTATTTATCCAGCTTTTTAATGCTGTGATGGATTGCAGGTGCTGGAAGTGTTTCTTTAAAAGCACAATACTTGTAAATAAAAACAACTAAACAATTCTTAATCTGATCTTAAAATGATTTTAGTAGTCTAGAACTAATGTAAACTAGATTTTAGTGATTTAAACATAATGTATTTGTTGACTAATGAGAATACATTGAATGAGCTAGACATATATGTAAAAGAATACATAACAGATCCACTGTGGTTAAATTTCAGTGGGGAAAGAGGGAACTAGTAAAACTTGATAGAGATGACCGTATGAATTTGATCAGCTTAGAGGCAGTCCAGGACCAAAGGTCCCTGATCAGTTGTCTTGCCTTGTGGGAATCCATGGCAATAAAATAGCATTTTGTTACATTAAAAGCAATTAAAACATTAGTGGGAGAAGACTTTTCATATTTTGAACAGTATAATTTGGGCTTTAAATGAACTCCTTAATGACATAATTCTGGGGAGAGACAAGGAATTCTTGTAACCCAAACTTTACCCATTGCAACATGACAGAGTGTTTATCTATGTGAAAAAGGAAAAATCTAAGTTCTCAAAAATTGAAACTTAGCAATAAGATTTTTTTAGCATTGCATCTGTGGAAAAAGACTGCCTCTTTCCAGGTGGAACTCCCAATGTAGCACTGAAATGCTGAAGAAGAATGATGAGAACATAGAGTAGACACACGTACCTGGCACACTTGCCAGTGAGCAGCAGTAGCAATGTCAGGAATATCCCAGACTTCTGTGGTCAGGGCACAAGTCAAAGTTGTCATCAGCAGGATGCTTTTGATGTATAGCTAAACAAAACTATGGCTTCTCATTTCTCTGCTTTGAAAACAGTTTTATATTTGGTGTCAATTAACATCACTTTACAGGGTTCTCTTGTTTGTAACCACCACTGTTTCTGTTTTCTCAGCTGATGTTTGTGCCATCTCAAATAGTTGTTCCAAACATATTGACCCAGAACAGGCTATTTCTGCTCTATAGCATCTTCAGCAACTTCAGATCCTTGGAGATTAATGCAGCCTTATCATTATTTTGCTTCACAGTTCCTTTATATCACATGCTCAGAAGACAATCTTAGTGATTACTGCCATAATCTGAAGAATACACAGATCTTAGTACTTGGAAATGAAGTTTTCTGCACTTTGCACCACAGAAATTAAATATTGCTAAAACATCATCAAGTATTAACCCCACTGCAATTACTGTAGATGAGATTCTGACTGTAATTTTATCTGTCTTCTGCCAGCTTTGAATATTACTGATTTATTATGCCAGCAGAATCAAATAATTCAACACCTGTTTATTTCTCTCTGCATCCTTGTCTGTATAAAGATCAGACCTTATCCTCTCATCAGTATAAATATATTAGAGATATGTTTATTGCCTTATATATAGCTCCTAACAGATGTTTTGGTGTCTGCACAATGTGACCTTAAATTATTGTGTTTCTGAATATATGCCATATGACTATGTGGAAGAGCCCAATGATCTTTAGAACACATTATGGTGGAGATTTCTCTTTGTTATTCCTCCAATGATACATTTTCCCAGAGGAATATGTGTAATCTCCAAATGAGATCATGTCTATGGCTGGTTCTAATTGCTGTAGTTTCAGGGGAGATAGTGTATGCTCGTCAGGAGTACAGAGCAAGGGCTGTGAGGTCAGAATGATTGCTTTTTATTTTCAATATTTCTGTTGTTAGGGTTTCAAACACCTGTTGATAACCAAGTCCTTTCAAAAGGAGTTAATAGAAGTCCAAAAACCTTTATAAAAGCAGTGGCTATTTTGATATGTACTGAGGTAATAATTTGAACCAAATCTTACTGTTGTTGACGTCATCCATTAAGAAGCAGAGTGAGAGAGAATTTAAAATCTGCATGCTAATTTCACATGTCTGACACATGTCTTAGGTGCTTCAAACAGCAGCAGTTCTTCAGGGAAATATTTTTAGAGAGTTTTGGCTGGGCCAAGACAAAACAGAATTGGAGGCAATTACATTCACCAAACAGCTTTTCCAAATGAGAAATCCAGGGCAACAACTCCTAATAGGATTAATGAAGGCATCTTCAGTACAGAAATATGAAAAATTTCTGTATTGAAATGTGTTTATAAGACTGCTTATAGATATGTGTTTTAATGATTCCCCTTTCAGTATAAACAAAGATTTTATTAGTTTTACATTGATGGTATTGAACGAAATTCATACCTTTTGTTTTGCAGTGCAGAAAGATGTAGCTTTAGTTTGGGTTCCTTAAATTTACTCATTTTAATAATGACCGTTTTCAGAATAATAATTGCTTTGTTTGTTTGTCATTGTCAGATTATACAAACTGTGCCAGCCACCACCACCTGTTGGAGAAGAATGAGAAGATCTGCTCTAGAAAACAACCCAGTAATGGCCTTGAGGATACTGGGATTATATGACAAAAATCCAACTGCACTATAGCACTATGTCCCTGCAGCTTTGATAAATAAGATGAAAAAAATCTTCTACTCAGGACAAAGGAAAAAATACCCTAAATATTATCTACTGGCATTGAAAGATGTCTTCCCAAAAGCATTTCTGAAGTCTGTGCACTCCAGCCTTACACTCATAGGACAGTAGTCTTCCTTGGGAATTTAACACTGGAATCAGATTAAGTTGATGTGTATTGTTCAGTCACATAATAGGCATAGCCAGCAGCTTGAGAAAAAAGTCTTGGTCAGAGGGGTTGTCTTCACTTGCACACTATGCACAATGTGATCTTGTGGAAGCCTGTATAAACTAGGCTTGATAACGAGCATGCACTTCATCTGGGGCCCTTTGCACTTGAGAAAGCTTTTTTTCCTGTCACCGTCATAACTTCTTGGAATGCTAACTTTACTGTTTCAAGAATATAATGTGAGGTTTAAAGATGGAATGTTCATTTCAGAATTGTGTTTAATGGCTGCAGGCAGCTGCTTTGGGAGGAGGACCTACACGGCATTAGGAGTGCCTGATGGTGTGGCGCATAAGCTAGAGTTCTGCTCTTTTGCAGCTGCCATTATAATGAAGGAGAAGGAGGAGTCTGATCATCATCCACTGTTAGGCTGTGTTTCAGACTCCAGTAGATGTTTTACATTATTACATCTCTGCACTTCAGAGTTTTCCAGAGTTGTGTATTTTCTTCTATAACACTACACTAACAAGTCTACATAAGGCAGAGATGAGTCAGTATTGTTAAACTGGAAATGACTGGTTGAAGTTCAAGCATAGTTTGGTGTTTTGATGTTTTATGCTACCATTTTCCACATTTTGTCAGCATTGTTTTGTGTAGCATCTCAGTTCTTTGGAGTGGTAATTGTTAAAGATTTATTTTGAAATTGTACTAACTATTTAGAGAGCCCAGGGAGAATTTATCTGCATTTGGCTGTTCTGTTGGCCAAAGAATTTTCATTTTCAAATGCCCCCAAATGAGGATTTATGTATGAGCACATTAAAACAAAAACTGTATTCTGAAATAGTTCTACTTGTAGCAGCAGCTATGTATTCCATTAGAGCAAGACACATACTGTCTGAATAAAATTTATTTTTTGTACAACAGCGGCCTGTAGTTATGCTGTAGCAATCAAACCTCACAACATAATTTTTGCATATGATCTAAATATTTGTGAACCTATCAATGGACAATGAGATAAGTGAGAATTCAAAAGGAATTGTACTCTTGAAGAGAGTGGGGTTTTTTAGAGGATATTTAGGGAACTTGTTACTTCTCTCCAGAGGAGGAATTAGAGCTACTACCTTTTTCAGTATTCTAAATGTTTATACACAGACCTTAACTTTGCTAAGAAAATAAATATTTTTATATATCCACAGATATACATGTCTGTGCATATATGTATGTTTCAACATATATGTATTTATGTAGTCATGTCAATAAAAAGAGAATGTTTCCCTTAAACTATGACAAAGGCATGCAGTAACACTCCAGTAACAACTTCACCTTTGTGCTTTAAGGTTTACTTTCTTTCATAGTTACTGGAAGCTATTGAACCATGATCTTTTTGATTAAAATACTTAATACAAAAAAGCAAAAGCAAAATTAAAAAAAACTCAAAAAACCAAAAAAATTACTTTTAAAGGCTTTTGTCTAGCATGACCTAATGCTTACACATAAGAAAGAGTTATGTTTTCTATAACTGCTGTTCCAGTCAGGATCTCATACTTTCAGATGTGTTTCATTCAGAGCAGCAGTATTGGCTATGGTAATTCCTGCTCCAGGCAAAAGCACCAGTGATTTCAGTTTCTGCTTGTTCAGACATCAGAATTGCAGAGAAGCCATAAGCACCTCAAGCCAAGGGCGTGCTGCTGTCAGCCTGGCTCTGAGCTCACATCTTCCTGTGAGGTTTCCCCACATGAGGTTTGATTTACTATGAGGGAAGTCAGCTGTTGGCTGCATGGAGCTGCTGAGCCTGTATGCAATAAAATAACCTAGAGAACAAAATCTCTTGCATGTACATGCATTATTGTAAGCAGTAATTGCTTTTTTTTTGTATAGCATTGAAAATGGTAGGAGTGTAAATGCTCTAAAATAGTCTCCCTGTATAATATGATAATTCCATATTTCATTTTGTTGTTGAAAGTATGGGATAACAGACATTTGTAAGGGACAAATAATTAAAAGCCAGTCACTGGACAAAATTTTTTAGCTGTTGTTTCATGAGTGTGCATCAGAAATCTTGACCTCTTATTTTGGTCGTTTTATATCTAGCTTTTTGTCCTTTATTCTTTTTTTCCCCATCTAGATACAGTGTCCAAAACCTATTAAGCATTATGAGCTTTATTAGTGACCCATACTGCAAAGTAAAGTGTCTATTTAGCCTAGTATCAAAGAAGCTGAGAAACTTAAGCCCTGGTTTTTTGGGATTACAGATAACACATAAAAATGTGATTCCACAGTAACACACAGAATCAATTAGGTTGGAAAAGATCTCTGGGATCCTTGACTCTAACCTACAGATCGAGTCCAGCCTATTTTCAGAGGAAATCGGGCATAAACGGCCCCCTTACTGTGTATTAAAAACTGGGGACCTGATTTCTCAAAATGTTCTTCAATGGCTTGTATGAAACATTTTGTAGTATTCAGATTGCTTTTCTTGCCCCTCTGCTTTCAGAGCACGCTGCACATTCTAACACCATTCTATTGACTTCTAATAACATTAAATGGACTTTATTGTCCATTCTTAAAATATAAATTTACATATGTTCATCATTAAAGCTGTTTATCTTGTTTGGTATATGTGTAGGACATATTTATGCCTTCTACAAGATGCACTTGCAGAGTAAAAAAAATATCCATTCTCATCACAGTATGTTTATCCTCTTATAAATTTTTAAACTCACAGGTGACAAGAAGAGATGACCAAGAGTGATGATTTACAAGAATTGTATCACCTATAGCTTCTTAAATCTTTGCTTTGACAGAAACGGGTTATGTAGCCTTTTTTTACAACAATGTCTTGTACTGGTTTAGGGAAAGCATTCTGTATGTAATTTTTACTTTTTTCCCCAAGGAAAGTGTAATTCTTTTGGGAATAAATTCAAGGACCTAGAATCATACTTTACCAAATACTACCATGATTCAATGCTAGCCTGGGAAGGGAAGGTTACAGGCCCAGGAACAGCTGAGTTGCCATAGCATCCATGCTTGGAGAAAACACAGATTTTAAGTAGAGCTGGGGATGCTTTGCCTGTCTTTGTAACCATCATCTGTGAATAACAGGATGTTAAACAGTCTTTAGTCTATGAAATGGCCATTGATCCACTCTAGTTCCCCAGATTAGTTATTTTTAATAGTCATTTTCCTTGTAGAATGTAAATGTAAATAAATATAAAAAATGTATATAGTCCAGTTTTTCAGTGTCAAACTTTGTGTTTAGAGATCCATTTTAAAGTAAATATTCCTGCTGTCAGGTGAAGCAACCAACCAAGTTCATGTCTACTGAGACAGTTGGAATCCTTAATGGCTTTTTGGGTAGAGTTCACTGGGTTTTGCAAATGCATCAGGTTTTTGGATTGGTTTGTATTTGTTTATTTTAATGGAGTCAGTAGTGGTCAGAACTCCTACTGGTTTAGAGCCAAGACAATTAAACTTCAGTCAACAAGGATTTACAGTAGTCATACCTAATTTCATTTGTTAGAGTCCTTTAATTGGAAAAAAAATTAACCACTTTTATTGATCTGTTTTTAGCCAGAGCAATTCACAAGCAAACATGTTTTATTAATTGATTGTAAGATGTAGTGTGTGTGTGTGTATATATATATATATATATATATATGTATTTAAGACAATTGCCTGAATGTGGGTATACACATCATGGTTAAGCATGATGCTCAAAAAAGGAAGGTGTCTTTCATTTCATTTAAATGAGAAAATCAGTAACTGTAGTATATATCTACATATTGTTCCATACTCTTTACAGCTCCATCATGGATATGTCTTGCAGCATTTTACGCATATTTTGCGCCATTTGTGTTTAACAGTATGAAAAGATAATGCATTGCCTTATGTATTTTATCTCTGTACTTGATAAATGCAGGTAGTGCTTTTCTAATTGTACTCCAACAGTACTCTGGCATTGGTAAATTAGATGTGCAGTACATACCTGACTCAGGATATCTGGATTTTTCATCATTAGGTTTTGAAGTATAAAAAGATATTGAACTCATATTTTTGTATGCTGACAATTGTGTAGGGTTTTTTTATATACTGTATATATCAACCAAGTTTTCCTAAAGAAATTTTATTGTTATGAATGTTTCCCTTTTCCTGCTAGATGTGGGTATATGTTTTCTTGTTATGTATGTAAAAATGAACATACAGCATGCACAGTCATGCAGATGTTAACACCAGTGAGAAATTTCAGATGGCCCAGAGGCTAATCAAGCTTTTTTTTATGTTCTTCTCTAAAAATATAGATCTCCATACTAGAAATCTACTTTAGAAATAACTTCTACTTCAGTTTGAAAGTCCAATCGAATGCTCAAAGTAGTTGGGACATTTCTGCAAGTTCTTAGATTTAAACTTCCATGGGAATATCCACAACATCTTCTGTGTGTGTATGTGTGTCCTATCTGCAGTACCATACACCAAATTCAAAAAACTAAGCAGCCTTATTAACTTCTTTACACTGTGTATATAGTGTATGTACTTGGTTATACTTGTGTTACACTTTAAAAATGAACCTAATTTCTGCATTGACTATTGCACACATTTTTCATATTAAGAATATATTTTGTAACATCTCATTAAGTACAAGGGACTATTTGAAATATTATGAGAAAGAGACTGATTTGAAATATTATGTGTAAGTACAACCATACACAGAATGTTTCAGTCAGCTTTTGTTTGAAAACAAACTAGCAGTTCTATGGGTAGTTGAGTTTGCTGGCAGTAACCTTTGGAATTAAAATCCTTGGAAGATGGATTTAAATTACTTTTTCCTTTATTTTGTAAAGTGCCTCTGTAGCATACTTTGAATCAGTTACTATATTGATTATGGGTAAAACTAACACTTGTACTTTTAGATCTATGGTTTATTTTTTTAGTTACATAGTAAAGACTGGAATGGTAACAGTGTATTACAAAATGTCAGCAATAAAACCATTCATAATATGGCCACTGCAAACCTCTTTATTTGTAAGCAAGAAGTTGGGAGGGAGGGGGTTGAGGGTCTTAAGCCTTTTCTGTGTGCCTGCCTAGGAATTCTGCTGCAGGAGAACAGAAATTAAATTTCTAGAAATAAATGTTTATAATAACAATCTCTTATGCAAACCCAAATCCAACCTAGTCTCATTGCTGGTAATTGAAATATATCTTTATAACTATTGGAAAACTGAAACTGCATGAGCAGTAACCCATGGCTTTGGGCAGCTGTACTTTGTGAGGGCTGGAAGAGGCACAGGCATGGAAATTGCATTTTGGCCCTCAGAAAGCTCAGGAATATTCACCATTTCTTCACTTCTTTATCTGAGGACTTTCTGCTTACTGCTGTGCACAAGGGGTAATCTGACAAGCATAGTACAAGGAGTACAACACTCCACACTAAAAAAACACCAGTAAATGACACATCCTTTAGAGGGATCTTTTGGGATGCCAGGGGCTTGAGGAGTTGCACTTGCACTGTTTCTTTTGTAGAACTGAAAGCTGATGAACTATTAGACCTTGCAGAGCAGTTGTCTCTATATTAAGCGAGTTCTGATTTCTACATTGTTGCAACCAATGGATGTTCAGGACTGAAAGGAACAGTGGAGACAGGACCAAAAACAACTACAATTACTTCGTAAAATCCCTTTTGTTTTCCATCTTATGTAAGCAAGGAGGAGGATGTAAGTATTTCTGGATAACTAGACTTGCAAGATATATATTTTTTTTCTTCTAAGTATTCACCTCTCTAATTTTGTGCAGGAAGGCAGCATGGCATGTTAAAGTGTTCAGCAGCAGAAGTGACCACAAGATTTCAAATACAGTCTGCTTTTCTACCATTACAAGTGAAGCTTCTTTTTTTCAGTGCTCTGTGGTCTTGCTGCCATGAATACCTCAGAAATAAAGTCCAAAGAATTCTTTTCTCGACCAGTATATACACTGGAAGGAAATAGTGCTTTGAAACAACTGCTGAGAAAGATAATCAATTACACCGTGGTAGCACTTGGGTGTCCAGTAATTTTGCATCTTTCATGAGAAATTGTTGCTATCATCATGATTTGAAAGTCAAAAAGTCTGCAAAGGCACTTGATACACTTAAATGTCAAATGAGCACGGTGTGAGTTCATGATTCAAAAAAGATAATATATCTTTGCCTCCCATCAAATATGTGTCTGCTAAGCTTCGACAGTAAAGACACTTCCTTTTGAATGTTACTCATAAACTCACTTTTGGTGTGTATTTGATTGCTTTGGAGGCTTTTTTAATAGCTCATTATGTCATGCAGAAACAGGATAGATGAAGCTCATACTTGGCTTATACTAATGAAGTGGAATTGCTAACAGCTACTTCATTCTTGCTTGTAGAATATTAATTGTCTGAAACTACTTTCCCAGATAGTACTTGATTCCCTGCCCCCCCCCCCCCCCCCCCCCCCCCCCCA